GCCTCCCAAAGGCGCGCGGGATACAGGATGAGCCACCGAGCCTGGCTCATTTTTTTGTTTTTAATTCTCTGCTGTGCTTGTTGGGAAGTAAACACACTTCTCAACAAGTGTGTTGGAGGGAAGGGATCACCCCCACAGTTTCCTCTGACCTGATCCACGAGGGTGGCTGGGAGCTGGGAAAGAAAGCCAGGTGAAAGAGCTCAGCGCTCAGGCTCTAACCCACCTGGGTGGCTGACCCCTGGAGAAACCCTCCCCTCAGGGTTTCCTGCCTCCCAGGTCCAGAAGGAAGAAGTCAGCTGTGGCCTGACGCCCCTGCTTTCCGTGCTTGTCACCCACAGCTGTGCTGGCTGGTTGTGCTGGGAAGAGAGTGGGCTGGGCTGCGGCTGGGAGATCAGGGCGTCTCTGGTCCGTCCTGTGCCTTCCTGCCATAGAGTTAACCTCCCTGAGGGCTTCAGAAAAAAAAGACGTGAAGAAATCGGTCGAAGATTCCCAGGAGCAAGACATGTGCTGGTGGGGTGGGGTGGGGTGGGGCGGGGTTGGGAGAGGCACATGAGTGGAACTGTGCTTCTCTTTCTCCGAAAGAGAACTTAAGATCTCCATGCGGGAGGGTGACTCGTTCAACCCCAGCTCAGATCGGGCGGGCCCCGATTTTTGTCTTTGCATTTTTCTGGAAAGTTGCTGCCCTCTGGTGACTGGAATGCACCCACCAACGTTGAGGATTTGGGCACAGAGCATTTCCCCTATAATTAATTCATCAATGTTCCCTTCTCCCTTTTCCCATCCCTCCGGCCTCTCTCTCCTTTTTCTGAGTAGGAGTCTCACTCTGCCGCCCAGGCTGGAGTGCAGTGGCATGCTCACGGCTGCCACAGCCTCCACCTGCTTGGCTTAGGCGATACTTCTGCCTCAGCCTTCCAAGTAGCTGGAACCACGGGTGTGTACCACCCTACCCAGCTAAATGTTTTGATTTATTGTAGAGATGAGGTCTTGCCAAGTTGCCCAGGCTGGTCTCCAGCCCCTGGACTCAGGCAATCCTCTCACCTCTGCCTCCAAAATGCTGGAATTACAGGCATGAGCCACCACACCCAGCTTCTCCCCTTTCTTGCTTGACAAGTCCTTGCTCTGTTGCTCAGATTAGAGTGCAGTGCTGAAATTATAGCTCACTGCAGCTTCTGTCTGCTGGGCTCAAGCAATCCTCCTGTCTCAGCCTCCTGAGTAGACGAGACTACAGGTTCAAGCCACCGCACCTGGCTGTTTTCCTTAACATTTCTTTCTTTCTTTTTTTTTTTTTTTTTTGAGCCATGGTCTCACTGTTTTATCCAGGCTGGTCTTGAACTCCTGGACTCAAGATCCTCCTGCCTCGGCCTCCTCCGGAGTAGCTGGGATTACAAGGCACGTGCCACTGTGCCCAGCGAGTGTTTGCCCCTAAGGCAACTGAAGCATACATTTAAGTTGCCTAACATTCCCTTGTCGTTTTTTTTTGAGTTGGAGTCTCACTCCATGGCCCAGACTGGAGTGCAGTGGCCGCTCCTGGCCACTGCAGCCTCGACCCGCTGGGCTCCAGCGATCCTTCCACCTCAGCCTTCCAAGGAGCTGGAACTACAGGCGCGCGCTACCACACCCGGCTGATTTTTTGATTTATTGTAGAGATGAGGTCTCGCCAAGTTGCCGGTGCGGGTCTCAAACCCACGGGCTCAGGCAATCCACTCACCTCTGCCTCCCAAAGGCGCGCGGGATACAGGATGAGCCACCGAGCCTGGCTCATTTTTTTGTTTTTAATTCTCTGCTGTGCTTGTTGGGAAGTAAACACACTTCTCAACAAGTGTGTTGGAGGGAAGGGATCACCCCCACAGTTTCCTCTGACCTGATCCACGAGGGTGGCTGGGAGCTGGGAAAGAAAGCCAGGTGAAAGAGCTCAGCGCTCAGGCTCTAACCCACCTGGGTGGCTGACCCCTGGAGAAACCCTCCCCTCAGGGTTTCCTGCCTCCCAGGTCCAGAAGGAAGAAGTCAGCTGTGGCCTGACGCCCCTGCTTTCCGTGCTTGTCACCCACAGCTGTGCTGGCTGGTTGTGCTGGGAAGAGAGTGGGCTGGGCTGCGGCTGGGAGATCAGGGCGTCTCTGGTCCGTCCTGTGCCTTCCTGCCATAGAGTTAACCTCCCTGAGGGCTTCAGAAAAAAAAGACGTGAAGAAATCGGTCGAAGATTCCCAGGAGCAAGACATGTGCTGGTGGGGTGGGGTGGGGTGGGGCGGGGTTGGGAGAGGCACATGAGTGGAACTGTGCTTCTCTTTCTCCGAAAGAGAACTTAAGATCTCCATGCGGGAGGGTGACTCGTTCAACCCCAGCTCAGATCGGGCGGGCCCCGATTTTTGTCTTTGCATTTTTCTGGAAAGTTGCTGCCCTCTGGTGACTGGAATGCACCCACCAACGTTGAGGATTTGGGCACAGAGCATTTCCCCTATAATTAATTCATCAATGTTCCCTTCTCCCTTTTCCCATCCCTCCGGCCTCTCTCTCCTTTTTCTGAGTAGGAGTCTCACTCTGCCGCCCAGGCTGGAGCGCAGTGGCACGCTCCCGGCCACCGCAACCTCAATCTGCTGGGCTCAGGCGATCCTTCCACCTCAGTCTTCCAAGTAGCTGGAGGTACAGGCGTGCACCACCATACCCGGCTAATTTTTCTTAATTTATTGTGCGCTGAGGTCTCACCAAGTTATCCAGGCTGGTCTCGAACCCCTGGGCTCAGGCAATCCTCTCACCTCGGCCTCCCAGAGTGCTGGGATTATAGGTGTGAGCCACCAAGTCTGGCTGGAAACTTTTTTTTTTTTTTGAGTTGGAGTCTCACTCTGTTGCCCAGACTGGAGTGCAGTGGCACGCTCCCGGCCACCGCAGCCTTGACCTGCTGGACTCCGGCAATTCTTCCGCCTCAGCCTTCCAAGGAGCCGGGCATGGTGATGCATGCCTGTAGTTCCAGCTACCATGCCCGGCTAATTTTTTATTTGTTGTAGAGACAAAGTCTTGCCAAGTTGCCGGGCGGGTCTCGAACCTGCAGGCTCAGGCAATCCACTCACCTCGGCCTCCCAAAGTGCTGGGATTACAGCCTGAGCCACTGAACCCGACCCAAAAACTTTTTTTTAAGTTAGTTTTTTAATAAAGTCTATGATCAACTCTCTCTCTCTCTTTTTTTTGTTTTGTTTTGTTTTTTTGTTTTTTGAGTTGGAGTCTCACTCTGTCGCCCAGACTGGAGTGCAGTGGCCGCTCCCGGCCACCACAGCTTCAACCTGCTGGGCTCTGGTGATCCTTCCACCTCAGCCTTCCAGGTAGCCGGAACCACAGGTGCACACTACCACACCCGGCTAATTTTTTGATTTATTGTAGAGATGAGGTCTCGCTGCCCAGGCAGGTCTC